TAAATATATATATACTTATATATATATATATATATACAAATTAAATACGTCAGCATATGTTTCTTAAATTTAGCTGTTTTATGAAGATTTAAGTATAAAATGAATAATTGATTTACATAGTTTTCCCTTGGCTTCATTCCTTGTAAATTTAAATGTTCACTGAGACTCATTTCAATGCAAACATTTAAAAAGATTTTTATAAAACTCACCTTTCAATTCTTCTATACTTAAATAATCTTGCTTTCTTGCACCACTTAATTTACAATACATAATAGTACAGAAAGAAAGAGCATTAAAATTTAATTGTTTCAATATTTATTGCAGAAAAATACTATAATTAAATCACACGTTTGATGTTGCTGGAAAGAAAAGATTACATATAACGTAACATGTATGTATAACATGAATATAACACCATAAACATCTAAGCATGCCATTTCCAGTCAAAAGACTGGTTATTGTATGTTGTAAAGTATTGGTATATTTAGTGTTAAATAATTTTACAGAATAGTAGCAAATTTTCAATGAACGGTGTTTGCTTTTTCGTGTTTAATATGCTTATCTGGTAACAAGAAAAAACATTTTGTTAGAAATTTCTAATCTTTTGTAATGAAATATGAGAGAAAGTACTAGACAAGAAAAGCATAGCAGTTATGCTTTTAATATTTTAAAAAATACTAAAATTATGATTTTTTTTTAAAGGGAGAAAATGGTGGCAACATAATAATTTCAATAATTTGTGTAAAATAACGAAGAGAAATAAGCATGTAACCATTCATTAATAATTTCTCGGAAAAGTGTCTCACAGTGCATAGCTGCCAACATGGATAGAAAAAAATCTAGTAGATTTTACGAAATAATACAAGTTTCAGGATAATTGTTGATAGGGGTCAGACATTTTGTGAAAGGTCCTGTTTTTGCAAAATTGTGAAAAAATTACTCGTAATTTGCGAATATAAAATAAGCGTTAAGTCACATTCTTTCAACCATGGTCCTGTTTTGTGAATTTGTGCGAATAGGGTCTTGTTATTGTAAAAAACTTTTTCAAGGAGATTTTAAATTGTAAAAGGATACAACATTATTCTCAACACTGTAAAATTATAGTAAAAAAAAAATTAATTTTCAAAAATAAACAGCTATTGCTGTTACTAAATTAGAGATGCAACATACAAATATTTGGTATTTAGCCTATACTGCACAAAATGGAATATTCATTTCGAAACGAATAATGGAAACAAAATCACTCACATTTTTAATAACTTCAATTGACATATTTTAAATAACACAACTTAGTTATGTATCACTTCTAATGTGTTACGCATTAGGCAAATTTAAACAATTCTTAAATTTAAATTATTTTTTTTCTAAAAATTGACACAAGTTAATTTTTATTTACATAATATTTTATCAATTAATTTTATGAATAATATATTGGTCAATTATTTATTTACAGAAAAAATATCATTTAATATCAATAAGAATGTACACTCGATGTTTGTAGAAATCGAAATGTTTTCTTAGAATCCCTCATTTAGAATTTAGAATTTATTTTTTACTTCGAAGAGGTTAAGGTACATAATATAAATGAAATGAGATCAAGCTCAGCCTTAGAATTAAAGCAAAAAAATAAGATCAACAAAATATAAGAGCAATATACGTCGATTGCCAGTAGATTTGTAAATAACTATAATAGCTGAACACTCAGCATCAGTCAATTTTTCACGCCCATTTACAATAATACGCGAATGTCTATCGAGTGTCTCTTGTGAAGGGTCCGATTAAAAGATAAATTATTTTGTGAAGGGTCCGTTAACGAACCCAAATTTTTTCTAAACAGACCCCTGGTTGCACTAAATATTTTACACATAGAGAATTTTAGGGATTTTTATAGTCATCAAAAATATATAAACTGCAATATTTTCCTGTTATGATTGATATTATACTTGAAATATTATTTATTATGTTTACTCATAATTTCTAATACTAATAGGCATTTAATTCATCAAAGATACTTAAAAGATTTTTTAATTAATTTAAAAAGAGAGTTCTGAATAAAAATAAACTGAACATTTCAGAACAAAGAAAGTTTTTAACCGATTTCTATAAATAAGGTTCACTTCATTATGTAGATAATACTTATTTAAATATTCAAGAAAGCAGGCAATAATCCGCACAAAAATTCTACTTTAATAGAGGATTTTTTAGGACACTTACTCAATTTAAGGGAATTATCTAAAATGTACAAAAACCAGAAGAATTTTTATTAAACCAGTAGACCAGGAGAAACTGACAAAATCCCGTAGTCTACTGGAAAATCCAGTAGAGTCGGCAGCTATGACAGTGATAGAATGATAAAATAATTATTTGCTTTTGAAGTTTATACTCTTAAATACAATTATAAAAAATAATTTAATCCTATAAATTTAATGAGGAATGAGAATGTCATTTTAACATTTATCCAATTTTTTTATCCAGTTTTTTTATACACATTGGAGAACTTTCAACTCACTGAAATTTGTTTTGTAGTTTGATCAGAACATGTTCATTATTTCTATTCAAATAAAATTTCCATGAATCAAAAATATTGTGAATCACTATGAGTGAAGGGATAAGATGATCTATGAGTTTTTAACTTTTTTACAAAATAAAAAAACTCATTTAAAGGCCAAAAAAGTAACTTAATACATGAAACACTACTGAAAAGATAAAAGTTCAATAAAAAGAAGTATAGGACTTCAGTGAGAAATAATTGATATTTTATCTATGCTAAACGCATGAATGAGATTACAGATTTAAGAATTGATGAGAATTCAATGAAGAAAAAGCTGAAATATTCTTCATTTACATAATTTTATCCTATTTGTAGAGAATTACACAAATAGAACAATCGAATTTCAACAATCGAGGAGGAGAACGTAACAATATCGTACATTTGGGAAAATTAACTTTATTCATAAAATAATAAAAATAATGAATGAACACATTGGATTGATTTAGGTTTTTTCTACATTATTTCGTCCTTAATTAAATTAAAGTTTACCGAGAATGTCATGAAAAATACACCTCGAGCTGTTCCACCGCTTGAACTTGGTAGAGGCAGTTCCATTTTAATATCATTTCTTTCTTAACTACTAATATCCTCTTTTTCTGGAAAATAAAATTTCCAAGAATCTTCCTTCTTTCTCATAAAATTTACTTTATAGCTGTCTTCTTCTATCTCTTCAATTTTTCCTACAAATAGAACTTTTTTTTCTTTCCACAAAACTCAACAAGAACAGTCATTAACCTCTATTATTGTATCATCAGTTATCTCAAAATACATCTGCTCTTCGATATCTGCAGTGGAAGGCGTCAAAAAATCTTCTAATTCAGTGTGTAAAGAAATGTCATCCACACTCTCACTTTCAACAAATAATAATTTTTTTGATGGTTTTAACTTGAGATTGATTTCCTCTTCGAATAATTTCTTTTTGAATGCGATTTTTCTCAGGTGTTTCAGTCAATATTTTGGACTTTTTCTTACCTCTTTTATTAGCCATGGTAATAGATTTAGGGTACATCTACAGGTGTCATTAACCTAGGCTCATTAGGTTTACTTTCAGTTAACCTTGTTGGTGTACAAAATTTATGATTTTTTTTACTAGTACTTGGGAGACTATCTATTTTACACCTTTCTTCAACGATTTGATCCGCACTAAGAATTTCACTAGAATAAGCTTGCGAAACTGTTACAGAAGAAGGTTCAAAGTCTTCATCAGTTAAAATGGAACGTGAAAAGGGCCAAATTCCAGTTTTTCGGAAACCTGCAGTGATGTTTTTGTTTGTACATGTTAAAGTATATGCAGTATTTGCTATTGCAGCCAAGTTATGTACGCTAATAGTCTTACCTGAATTCAATAGCATCCAATCATTTTGTGCTACTCTCAATTTAGATTTGAATGGCCCTATGACTCCAACATCCAAAGGCTGGAGATGATGAGAACAATGCGGAGGAAGGGTAACTAGCACAATACCAATATCCTTAGCAAACAGCACAGCATCCAGTGTACAATGACTTCCACGATTGTCCATCACCAAAAGTATTTTATTTTCTGCTAAACAAAGGGTATGCTTTTTAATATGCTTGAGAACCTTGAGAAAAAGAAGCCCAGTCATATATACACGTATAGGACTGTTGACTCAACCTAAACTCCCTGATGGTGCCCTAAATAACATAGAGTGATGGAACCTTGCCCTCGGAAAACGAATACAGGAGGAACAGTATTTCCTAAAGCATTGATTATCATGCACATAGTAATCATGCCTCCTCGCTCTCCAGAAACTACCTGCCACACCTGACGAGCTCCTAGCTTGGCAGCAACATTCAGAGCTGGAACAACAGTTAAAACTCCAGTTTCATCCAAGTTATATATTTGATCAACTGTAAAATGGTCAGAAGTAAGAGCTCTCTCATAATTGTTGAAAAATTCTTCAACATTTTCTTTATTAAAAGCAGTAGCTCTTGCGAAGCTGGTGTTTTCCGGCTTACTTAAAGTAAGCTGTGGGTGACGCTTCATAAAACCTTTAACCCAGTCAGTTCCAGACTTTTTATTTTTGTCCCAGCTGCTTGAAATTTTAGAGTTGAGATGCATTGCTTAATCATAGGCAAGTTGTCAAACTTGTCTGTAAGTTCGACTATAATTGAGAATTGAACATGTAATTATGTATTCACAAAGCCAGGGTTTCTTGCTGGACATCAAAAACTTGTTGGCTTGTGTATTTAGAACTATAGCATTTTGTGTTAGTTGTACACTGCTTGGTTTCATTAACGAAACTATTATTTGACTTTTTTTTTTAATTTAAAAAATAAAGCTGAGAAGTCCATTCCAAATAAGTCTGCTGCTCTTAAAGATGCACCATTTCCGACAGCTTTCATTGCTTTTTCAATGTTTTCTTCACTAACTTCTCGCTTAGTGTGCTTTTTTATATCTTCGCACCACTTTTATAAACTGTAAGAAGGTAAAATAACAGGATTGAGCATTTTATTAAAAATAATACTACATTGTAAACTTTTCAATTTTCTTGAAATTAAATTATTTTTTATTCCAAATCAAATTTTCTTGAATATTTTTATAAAATTTTAAAATAATTAATTTATTGACTTTTTTAATGAATTCCTTGTTAATAAATTCTATTTTCTACAACAATGCAACTAACTGAATCTTGATTTTAAGCTTTTAAAAAAATTTAATGTAATTGAATTTTTTTTTACAGATATGTTTCCTTGAACACATTCACATGCTTTTCAAAAAGTTTTGAATAATGCCTTACAGAAAAAGTTGAGTATTTTAAATGTAAAAACCGTAATTAATGGACTTTTTGCAGACTAGTGACTTCTGCAAGATTACTTAACAAAAATAAAATAACCCCGGGACACCTTTCAACACTGTTGAAATGTGCCCCCTAAGCTCTGTTGAAATCTGCCTCTGGTACACACATTTTGGTTTAAGTATTATCAACCACCTTAGAAAAAGACTTATTGTTAATAAATAATACAGTTAGAAGCAGAATTAAATAAACTAGTAGATGAATAAACATCACTTACCTTATTAAAAGATTACTGGTAGATAAACAGTTTTAAAATCAAAACTGTATTTTTACTTTAGGAATGTTAAAACTTGTTCCGCAAAGTAACACTACAGTGGTAAAAAGAAAGTGCTTAAAACTAAATACCAACAGTTATTCATAATTAAACTTATTGTTTGGCATATTAGCCAATCATTAAGCAATATTTGAAGGCAGAAATTCTAGTTGTTGAAATGTACCTCCCTCTCCCCTACACATCATTGTTGAGATTATAAACCACAAAATTATTGTTTAAAGTTATAACATCTAGATTATATGTTATTTAAAGTTATAACACTTTAAAGTTATCCTCACGCCTAGATTTATGTATGATAGGCCCCTCAGCAATTGGGACCCTTAATTCAATTTCATTAGTCATTTACAATGAAGGAAGTCTTACTTATTCAAAAGTTGAATATAAATATATATTAATGATACATAATATGTATACCATTATTGAATATTTACATTTATACTTGATTCAATTAAGAAGTATATTGATATGGTAGTATTGCATAATTTTTTTTAATTTTATAATACATAAACTCTGGTTTTTTAAAAGAAATAAGTAAGATTCTATGGAAACACAATTCAACGTCATTACTCATTAGAATACAAGAAAATTGAAAATAAACCCTTTATTTTAATTAATGAATAGAAAAGTTTATTAAGCAGACAACATTTATAAGTCTCTATATTTAATAAAAAAAATCTACAATTTCTTTTCAATTGAAAATCCTTAAATTATAAGAACTTTGAATTTTTAAATTATAAGAATTTTGACAGTTACAGAAAATTGTTACAGAAATACAGAAATACAGAATTGGGCTTTTGACATGACAAAAATTAAAATTAATCTGGAATCTTTAGTGATAAAAATAGCTCTAAAACCGACTTATTAAAAACTCTAATAAATATTTATGAACAAATTCATATTTTAGTTAAGTAACATTATTTAAGATCAATCGAGAGAATTAAAAGTTTTAGCACGTCATTTATTTTTGAAATCAATATAAGAACTCATCAAATGTGTTATGCCAAGGGATAAATGAAGAAAAAATAATAACTCAAGCTTATTCATAAAACATCTATGACTTTATATACAGAGAATATTGAATAAGTAAAACAAATATTCTATTAACTTACCTTAATATTAGGTTTTCAAGCTTTGAAATTCAAACTAGCGTACCACAATTAATCGAACCTTGGCCAAAGGATACCTGCTCTTTGCTTGCCATGAATCGAACACATTTCGTTTCGATTTCTAATGTTGCCATTTTTATTTACAATAGAGTATGCTGTAGGAAAAAAAATATTTAACGTGCTAAAGGTATATTTACACTGAACTAATTCAATCGGATCAGCGCATTCCACTCAATCCAGTTGAATAAACGATTTACATTTTACAAACTTTTTTTAAATTTTACGATTAAAACATATTTCATTTTTACAATCCGTTTTTAGTATTCAAAAGGTCCCGCTGCGAATTGATCGTAAAGACACGATTCTCTGTAGAACACCGAAGTCAAACATCACTGGCTGCGGACAGTAAGCGGATGGGTGACAGAGGGTGCACGGTATCAGTCCCCGTTAAACTGTTCTAACGTAAAGTGCTAGACTTCACGCTTTGGTCATCGGGCAGTGGAGGAGCCATCCCCTCTGCAGAGGATCAAAAAAGCTTCAACTAATCTTTTTATATTATTCCTTTTTTGTAAATTCTTTTCTTAATTTATTATTCAAAGCGAAACGTTTTCTCACACTTTTAAATTCACATCCTGTTCTTTAATCTATTTTTGGCTCAAGTATGCATTAATTAAAAGAAAGACATTTTTCCCTTTGCTCTTTGTGAGAATCGCGCGACCTATTTGATAAACCAATTACAATTACTAAGATTTCCCTTATTCTCTAAATTGAGAAATTTTCCGGGTTTTCTTTGCAGGATTTTCCCTAACATTTATGCAGCAGCACGATGAAGCCTGTTTGTCCTGCTCGCACGACTGTCATCATCATCATATATATATTGGGAGGCAATGTTACTCGCGTCCGTGATATCCTTAAATCACACGTGCCTCCTGGATAGTGCTAAATGAGTAACGGCGATGGCTAAGGCGATAAGTACAAATAGGGCAAGGAAAAGCTCCTTTTTCCTTGCCATGCAAAACAAATTGACATCGTCCTTTGAAGTGTTGAAAACAATGAATAATCATGATACAGCAGAAATTGCAGTCGTTAATATTTGGAACAAGAATACTATTTTCAGGGTTTTTGGTATATATCCTCCAAACAACAAAAATTTAAGTTTAGATTGCTTAACTTCTCACCTTAACACTTTAACACTAAAATCAAGTAGGACAAATTGTCGAGAACTTTGTAAATAGCAATACCATGTTTGTCCTTAACAATGAAGATGATCCAAACAACTTCATCCACTTTTCAGGCAGTTCTACATATCCTGACCTAACTATTGTTTTCGCAAACTTAGTTGACCTTTGTAAAAAATCAGTGATTGGGGATCCGGGAAGCGGTCACTGAATGATAAAAACATCGATCACTACAACTTAAATACCGACAAGAAGTAACACAAAAATCATGTGGAGCTTCAATAAAGCTAACTGGAAAGCTTTCACTGAAGATATGGAACATCAGGTAAACACCTTTCAAACTGATGCAAATCCACAACAATTAGTATCAACCTTTAAGGATACCTTTACCTTAAGGCTAAAAGGAACATTCCAAGAGGAAAGCGATTTAACTACAAACCATTTTGGAATACTGAACTTGAAGAGCAAAGACATATCAGAGAGCAAGCAAGAAGAGAAGCTGAAAAGATAGAGGGGAAAACTAACGAAGAACGGAAACAAGATGTAATCAATTGGCGAAAGGCGAATTGCAATAATGAAGAGAAAAGTCCTAGAGGCCAAACGACAAGCATGGAATAAGTGTCTAATCGATTTAGACTATAGGACAGACGGACGTAAAGCTTATCAATTAATGAATAACCTGAACAATAAATTTACACGAAGAGATAATCACCCCATAAAGAGAGGAAACAAATGCATAAGTGATTCAGGACAGATAGCAAAATTATTCAATAATTTTTACCTTGATCGGTTCTCACTTAGTACAGAACAAAAGAAACAAGAGAAAAGAAGCAACAAACTAGTAAAAAGAAGAACATCTAAGTTTAAGTGCTCTGAAAACCTTTTCACAGAAGACTTCTCAATCGAGGAATTGAAGAAGGCTATACATGACCTCAAATACGGTAAACAACCAGGTCCCGATAACATATTCCCTGAGTTCCTGAAACACCTGGGAATATCAGCGAGGAAATTCCTGCTAACAAGTTTTAATAAAATCTGGAACGAAGAATCAAGCCTCCCAACAAACTGGTTGAAAGCAAAAATCATTCCAATTCTAAAACCGGGAAAGTCACCTGAAGACATAGAATCATACCGACCAATCTCTCTGACATCCGTCATGTTCAAAACTTTTGAAAGACTAATAAATGCCAGATTAACGTTTTACCTGGAGTCGAATGATATCCTAGCAGA